GTCCCAAGAATCCAAACAGTGTTGATTGAATATTTTATGTGTGCTGGAACTAACTGTCTGCTACTGAGTTTTGCACACTTCAAGACTAATGTCTTTGACAGGTAACCTATTTTACAAGTCACCCTTTGTTACAATCAGGTCAGGCCTTACAGGGGCAGGAACTCAGAAAGACTGTGAGACACATGACCTGATCCAGGAAGTGATATTAGGTCAAAGAAACATGGCATGTTTGCGTATTTACTCCCCACAAGATTTTTTTTTCATCACAAGATAACAAGTTTGTTTTTTGAGTCTACAGTTAACATTGAAAGGATGTAAAATATGTTGATAGCTACAGTTCACATTAATGTTCTTGAGCTACTTGTAAACAGAGTAAATAGTGTACACAGTATATACAGGCCCTCAATCAGCTGCAAATTTACAACATCAAAAGCCAAAGAGCTAAATATTGCATTAGCCTGCCTGAAGTCCAGACATGTCACCAATTGTCACTATCAAGGCCTCAAACTGTAGATGTTAAACAAGGATGTTGAAACATTTTGGTTTCAAAACTGCAGCTTCTCAGCTCCCAAAAGCTCACCGTGTGTCGTTAAAAGACGACGTGTTGCGACAAACACGCAATTTCTCGAAACGTGTCAGTGCCATCGAAGCTCGCACTCATCAAAATGAGCATCAAAACAAACATTAAATTTAAAATCTTAAATATTTCATGAGCTCCCATTTGCACTGCTCTAAATTAAATACAGGATGTAAGTGATTAGTAAATAACTGCTCTCTGTTTCTACTGACACTTTTACACGCCATCCCAACTTTTTTGGAAATAGGGCTGGGTGTTAAATCACAGTGACACATTTGTCAGCGTGCACGTATAACCACAAAGTGCCAGTTAAAGACTTAAAGTGCTTTAAATGACTGATGACTGCCAGCCTGTGGCTGCAGTGAATAACAGGGAATCAATGTGCCTGGCTCACAACCCTCACATTGCCCCCACCCCTCAAGCTATAACCAACCTCTAAATATAGGGCCAGAAAAACAGTAATCTGTAGTCAGCTGTGGCTGTCAAGTGGCTTTGTGATTGGCTGAACGATGCACTGTTTCACAATGATAGTTTTGGGTGTGGCGCACAAGCAGGAGAGAGCTGAGCTACAGGAAGTTGAAATCTACATAATGTATGCTGGTACACTGCAGGACCCTGTTATGGATGACCTCACTGGATGTGATGTAATCTGATGCCTGAATTTTTTTTTTTCTTTTAAGCTTTTGCATTCTCAACAATGAACTTTTAGCCTAGGCCTTGTAAATATACCTTGTTAAAAAACTTTTACTGGATTCCTCATACAGCGCCCCATACTGTCATGACACTACAGAAGAATTATCAAGGTCTATACCTCCAAACAGTCTCCTGTTGCACTCACAAATTGATTTGCCAGGCTTTATTGGCACAAATCCAGCAATTATTTGGAAACACCTTAGGCATAAAAAATAGCAGTAAAAGCTTCAATGTGTGGTCCTGAAAATCAGTAGATATGGACTATATCTGCTTTCCAGTAAATAGAGACACACAAATCCGTTCACATTAAAAGACCTTCATTGCATCTTAATCTACTAGCAGCAGAAGGGTTTTATTAAAAGGCCCAACTTCAGGAACTTCACTCGACTTTCACAACATTTTAACAATCTTGTTCGGCAGTACCCTGAGTGCTTCCTCCATATAAGCTTGCGTGAACATGCTGCTGTGCTGACAGGATGTGAGGTTTCGGGCCTTGCCATTATGCCATGAGTTTAAAATTAGCCGATGGGCAAAGAGCCCGGTCCTACATGGCTTTTCAGAACAAGGTTTGTTTGCGCCCACATCAGGAAGCAAAGAAGTGTGTCAGGCTTTCAGCTCAGACTCAGGACCTGACAATGTAATCCAGCCTTTAATCCAACAATAAACAAGTAAGCCATTTTTCCCTATTACCCACCGGTTTGCCATACCGTGAAGCTGCCCTAAATCTTTCACCGGTCAGTTCTATAAGTCTGCATGCATTTGAATATGGTCCAGGGGGTGTTTTGGCTTCAAGGTAAAGATAACTGCTTTGTGTTAAGTTTTGATGCTTTCGCTGACATAAGAAGATCCCTTTACTGGTAGTCATTCTTCAGTTCAGGTCTGTGGAAATACATCCACCCCCCTGTAATACTGGTATAACCAGAAAGAGAGTGGCGATATACTGTGACCCTCTAGATATAATAGGGATACTGTATCTGGTATCAAGATAGGGGAACTCCCAGTCCTCCATAAGTTTTTGGGCACTTTTGTTAATATGGGTGCTCTTTACTCAAATGCACCAGAAACATTTTGATGATGAAATGATCAGAAATGACAAGAAAATGTATGGATTTCTGTCAAGTAAGCTAACAAACTGTGCTGATGAGCGCATTGTCTTAAAGACCACGTTTATTTCATTTCATTTGTTTATTTATTTCACACTTGGTACAAAAAAAAAATCAAACAAACCAACCACACTTTCTATCAAAAACACTACAACCATGTGTGAAAAGGAGCAGGAAGAAGAAAATATTCTTATTAAACCCTGCCCCCATATATATATATATTATAGCAGGAACTATAAATGTGCATCTCGTTACAGTGTTTAGAAGTTCTGGCAATCTGTGGGAAATTACTCCTTATTGTTCATGAACGTACAAGTTTAAGGCAAAATCTAATCTGATGTGATCCTCTGGAATAACTGGGGCACAATTGGGAATTTTCTCCAACGTAATGCTTTTTAGTTTCAGTGATTACCTGAAAGTCTTTACAGAGTCAAGGATGCCAGCATGGCAACAACATCCTGCATGTACCATGGTGGCTAAACATTAAAGAAAAAAAAAACAAAAACAAAGACAAAATGAGCTCTAAGACTTCTAGGAATACAACTAAGATACAGTGACTGCAACCAGGCACTTGTGTTGTAATAGCCTCAGTTGACCACAGCTGCAGGAAGTGACAGGGCTAATTTCACTTTGACTGCACCTCTGGAGAAACAAATGAACTCTTGTTGAAAGGCAAATATGCTTTTAAAACATTTTTTAAAAGGCAAATATGCTCATCTCATGACAAGGTCAGGAGCCATCACCAGTTTATTGGCAGCTTGCAGCTTTACTGAAGTATATTTTCTCTAATCCAGCTAGGTCAGATGTGGCAGGAAAGTTAGGATGTTTCTGGGAAATCTGCCTCTTTTCAGTTTACAACTGTGGTTTCCATGGGGTCTCAGCTAATGAGTGCTGTTATTACTGATTAATATAGTGATTAGTTTGTCTATAGGATGCTTAAAAGATACTAAAAATGCTTTTATCATTAACTACATCTCAGATTGATCAAATTGCTCAGTTTTGCTGTGTGCCAAAGATCCAAATATTTAATTGACTATTAACATTACCAGTAACGCACACAGTCTTTACAATAAAGCCAGGAATGTTGAAGACGGAACTTTTGTTTAATTTAAAACCTTAAAAACGTCTATACAAACATTTTGGAACCCAGTCTGGATTTTAAGGTGCTAAATGAACGCCGAACTTAGGTTTGTTAAGTAAAGTCTCATATCAAGTCCTCCAATTTGTTTTAAAAGATGTAAGGGTGTTTCAGCATGCTCGACAATAATGACAATGCAGTTTTATCCACGGAGTCTGGCGTGACGCGTAACTCAGCTGTGGACAAACATTCGATCACCTCTCCGCCCCTGTGTTTACCTTGGAGCTGTGCCGACAGCGACTCTTGGTGTTGCTGATACTTCAGTGCCATCGCCTCCGTCCTCTTGAGCTGTTTGTGCATCTCGTACGACATCATGCCCCCGTACATCACCCCGCAGACCACGGTGACCAGAAGGAGACATTGGAAGATCCTCCGCTGCCTCCGGGAGCACACCCCGTTTCCCATGTTGGACCCGCACCCCTCCCCGCCTTCTATGCGCGAAAGCCCCGTCTCTGCCGCTGGAAAGTTCCGACTCAACTTTTTTCCCCCTCCCGGTGAGAACTGAGGAAACCTCCCCCTCCCCTCACACCCCGAGCATTTCCACGCAGAAAACACAAGCTACGTGCTAATACTCGCTTTCGGGCACATTATTATCTTTTTTAGCAGAGCTGCATCCAAATCTCGACCCTCTCCCCCCTCTGCAACTTCAAAGTAGCCGCTCAGATTTTCGCCTGACTTACAGCCAAACTCTGACTCTGCCTTCTTTTTAGCTCTAAAAGCAACGAAATAAATAAGACGGGCGAGTCCTGCGTGGGTCTCTCTCCCTCTCTTGCAGAGTTTCCGACGTGACTCGGGCAAGCTTACAGAGAAGTTAAAAGTTGGGTCCACGACGAGGCCTTCATAGCACCTTTTAACTTCAGTTACGTGTCAGCCGAGCGGCTCCCTGCCATCCAACTGCAGCGCTATAGGAAGTCCCTCCTCCGAAATAATGGTAAAGTCCCCTTCTCCCGCCCCGTAACTGCTGCTTTTATTATATTGGTCGCCAGAGAACTCACTCAAAAAAGCAACGAGGACTGTGAAGGAGGAAAGATAGGCCTCCCCCCCCCCCCAAAAAAAAAAATCTAGCGTTTTATGAGGCTCAAAGTTAACTGTGAGTCTATAAAACCGAGAACATCACCAAATGCTGTTTCTTTCCTGGAGTTGCTCTGCCAGACCTTCACTCAGTTGCTGTTCGTTTCTGGGTCTCTCTGCCTTCCGTTTTGTATTTAATAATTGAGAAGCCTGCTCTGTTGGGTTGGGATCAGGTGATTGGCTTGGCCATTGAAAAATATCCAATTTCGCTGCCTTGAGAAACTCTTGGATGCTTTGCGTCAGTATTATTTGCACCGTGGAGTGCTGTATGCAGTGGCCCTGAGAGGCCCAACTTACAAAAACACCAACATATATGGGAATACTGCAAAAACACAGAACACAACGGAAGTTCAATAAAATACAACGGAAGTGTTTCTGATATAACAGCTGAGGCAAGATGGAAGAGTAATGTGTTTTAATTGAGCCATACTGTACATGTTTGGTATTAGACGGTTACTGTTGGCTTGTCGCTTCCAGGGGTCTGTTATGACCTAATGCTGCATGTCCTTCTGTTTGTGTTATGTGTGCTTTTGCGGCATTTTTTCAGAAGTCGCGTATTGAGTTTGAGCGCTCATGGTTACTGTAGCTGTCTGATCGATTCTGTGGCATTTTGCATGAGTATAGCCCTGTACACTTCACAATTCAGCCTGCTACTTTACGTCACCCTTAGACACAAGTGCCCAGCTTCCAATGGCAGCTATACAAAGCTATGCCATAAAACTGCCTCCACTATGAGCCAGTTTTTTCCTCCATACGTGCCTCTTTCCATAATTCTGGTATAAATTTATGTTGTTTTTCTGTCCAAATATATATATATTTTGTATTTTTCTCCCAGAACTGCTGCTTCAGGCTATTTTGGATGCTTGTTCAAATACTTCTGAGTCAGTAAAAATGGAGGACTGTGCATAAAATTGGCTGTAATTCATAAACTCAGTTAATGCAACATTTTGATAAAACCCCTTGAAGTAGAGCTGAAAGCCTGCATTTCAATCGCATCTTGAGTTTTGGATTTAAAATCCACTGTGGAGGTGCACAGTTTCATTCAGCATACAGACATGATTGAGAGGACATTGTAAACTTGTACATTTCTGTGACTCAAAGACAGAACCTTCCAACGTGAAATGTGAGACCAAATTCTTGATTTCTTTCAATCAAAACAGTACATAGTATATTTTATAAAGATACAATGGAGTTATTTAAACTTGGCACAATACACATTTATTAAAAGCAAACACAATGGAAGATTAAAAAAGGAAATAAAATAAACCCATCTCAACAACTTATATACATGTATAAGCAATAGGTCCTAATAATATATTCAATACAAAAACAATCAGAGAAACAGGAACATTTTGAAATTACAATAATTCACTAGAAGTACTGAATTATTAGTGAAGAAGTTATTATTGCATATTTGCAAATGAATTTTCTCGGGCTAGTACTGGGACTAATGACTAATGGTTTGTTTGTTTTTTAACACAAAAAGACGCCCACATTTGCCTGAGGTAGAGAAATCTGCAGAACTGAAGTTAAACAGATGATCAGGTTAAAAGTGACTGTGCCACATACATACTGTATGAGAAAACCATCTGTCAGAAGAAAGAATATAATTCACTAATAACTAATTTACTATGAATTAACTAATATTATTAACACTTATTATTATTTTTAGCATTAGTCTAAATCAATACTTACAAAAAATATAATCATAACATGAAACTACTCATCTATTAGTACACCATTTTTTTCCCCTTTCTCTCCTCTGTTGTTATCTATTCAATTAGCATTAGTTCTGCAAACAACTGTAAAGAAGCTAATAAGGACACGCTACCAAATAATGCAAATAAATTTGGCTTGACAAGAGCATACTCTCTCCCACAAACCTGATGACAGTTTAGACACGTGGGCTAATTTTATAATGCTCCTATTTTTAGATAACGTCATTGAACGCGTCTTCTTTCTTTTTTAATAAACGTTATAAGATTTTAAAAAAGACGATGCCAGCACACGGAAACTTAAGAGAGGACATCTGCAGGGAGGTCATAATCGGGGACTTGGAAGAACAAACAGTTCAACTGCTGTTTTTAAGAAATACAGTTTCTTAAGTTATTTTCTACTTTAACAATCTGATTCACATTAACTTAAAACCAGTGATGTGTTTATGCAATGCATTTATATTAAGACTATTAACAGTTTTAAAGGGTACACACTGTTTCTCCTGGAGGACAACAAAGAGGACGCAAAGCAAAGAAATCCACTAGTCCTTAAACATTAAAAATCCTTTTCACATTATATAACACTATCGGATTCACATTAAAACATCAGAGTTGGTTCTTTTTATCCCAGCGTTGTCTCGTATGGCTGTAAAGGGTTAGCTACAGGGCCACAAAGTGAGATAAGACCAATGTAATTCCACACTTCTGTGCTTACTAGGGGAGTATTTGGAAAATTTGCTTTCGTGGGCTTTTGGTGGTGATACCAACTATCTTAAAAAATATGTTAATACATCAGGTTCCGCAGATATTGGCAAAGGTTTCATTTTAGAAATGACTAATTGGTTTTAAGAGCCCTATTTTAAACATGGAAGCTCACTGATTGCTTTTAAATATAGTTTTTCCATCCATAAACAAAATCAAGAGGTCCAAGTGCAAAAATGACTCAAGTCATGCAGGCAAGCCAGACTAAAGAGAAACTATGGAAGAGCTTCTAAACTGGTAGTTAATCCCCAGTGTTAAGGAAACTGTTACCTCCTCTTTCCTTCTTTATTAACACACTAAACAGGAGATTGTCCTCTTGTGTGCAAAGAAAATGAGACTCATGTTCAGCAACCCCTGAGAGCTCCAAACAAAGACTGATAGTCCGATCGCTGCTGGTGTTTGATCTCTGTCCTACAACACTGTCAGCTCCTCTTCCTCGCTCAGAAGAGGTTCCACCTCTGGGATATGGCGTAGCGCACTGCTTTTGGCAGAAATGTTCTTCCTGTACATGATGAACTGGGCAGTTACCTGATTCGGTCAAGGGTTGTACGGACACTGTAAGTTCAGACATTTTACAACTGCAATATCAAAAAGGTTGGGACGCTGTGTAAAATTGAAATAAAATCAGAAAGCGATGATTTGCAAATCTAATAAACCTATATTTTATTCACAACACAACATGGAAAACATAGCAAATGTTGAAACTGAGAAAATTTACCATGTTAAGTAAATTTGAGGTCATTTCGAAGCAATGACTTAGCAGCTTTCTATTCCTAACCTTAACACATTTATAGATTCACGTCAGCCCACTGTCATGCCTCCACACCTGTAGGTTCATTCCAACCTGCTCTCACGCATCCGAACGCGTAACATAGTAACGATTTGTCACAGTCGTTGGTATGTTACACACTGGGATGAAAACCTGTTGAATAGCAACGTGATTGGGTATAAAAAGAACATCTAAGAGACTTGTGTTTCTCAGAAATGAAAATACTGGCAGCAGGCAGTGCTACCTCTCAGCCTCTAAGCAGATGCACCTACGGTATGAATGTTAAAATCCTACATTGCCTTGTTCTCAAGTTATCGCACTTACATGATTTTCCTACCTCTGACCTTGACCTTAAGGCTGAAGTCACTGAAAACCTACCAACCTACTAAAATCTGTCTATAAATTATGAGAGAATTTTAGAATAATGTTACTCAGTGTAAAATAGTGAAGGACTTGGAATATCTTATCGTCTAAGTATCATCATCAAAAGATGAAAACAGCACTGCATTAAAAACATGATTCTGTGATGGAAATCACTGCATGGGCTCGGGAACACTTGCAGAAATCACTGTCTGACCACAGTTCACCATGATATTCATGAATAAAGATTGTAGCTCTGTCATGCAAAGAAGAAGACTTATATGAGCCAAGGCTCATTTAAAAGGGACTAAAGCAAAGTGGAAAACAGTTCTGTGGTCAGAAGATTTCAAATGTGTTTGGGAAAACATGGAGTAGAGGGACCAACTTCTTTTTCAGGGAAGTCCTAGCAGATTTCAGCAAATGCTAAACCACATGCTGCTGCCATCACAACAGCAGTTTCACAGTAGAAGAGCCCAGGTGCTGAAGTGGGACGGTAAACAGTGGTAAACATGGACATTAAAATCTAAATTGAGCTTATTTTTTTCTGTAAATAATAAACCATGTTAAACATCTGACATGTTCTACTGTCAAATTTGCAAATCACTGCATTTATTTTATTTACATTTCAGACAGCTGTTTTCTAATTGGGGTTGTACTAGG